TTAAATTGCATTGTCATTTTGTTCTTGAGTTGTAGGAGTTCTTTATATAGTCTGGATTCTAGACTCTTTTCAGATATGTGATTTGCACATATTTTCTGCCATTCTAGGTGTTGTCTTTTCACACGTTTTTTTTTTTTTTTTGAGAGAGAGAGAGAGAGCATGTGTACATGCATGCATGCACAAGCTGGGGGAAGGGGCAGAGGGAGAAGCAGACTCCCCTGCTGAGCAGGGAGCCTGTTGGTGTGGGGCTTGATTTCAGAACCCTGAGATCATGACCTGAGCTAAAGGCAGACCCTTAACTGAATGAGCCACCCAGGCCCCCATTCACACTCTTGATACAATGTCTTTTGATGCACAAACTTTTTACCTTCCAGTTTACTAATTATCTCTTCATATCTGTCTAATCTGTTTTTCTTTTTCTTTTTTTAAAAGATTTTATTTATTTATGAGAGACACACAGAGAAAGGCAGAGACATAGGCAGAGAGAGAAGCAGGCTCCCCTCGAGGAACCTGATGTGGGCGTCAATCTCAGGACCCCGGGAAAACACACTGAGCCAAAGGCAGACACTCAATCACTGAGCCACACAGGTGCCCCGATTTCTGTCTAATCTGCTTTTCAATTAATCTGTTGAGTTTTTATTTCCATAGTTTTAATTCTTTGCTAGAATTCTAAACTTTTATTTTCTCCAAGTACTAAGCATACTATTCCCCTGCTTTTTTTAATATGCAACATGAACAGACTTTTTTTTTTTAAGATTTATTTATTTATTTGAAAGGGAGAGTGAGAGAGATCAAATGAGTGGTGGGAGGGCAGAGCCTTCATGTAGACTCCCCATTGAGCATGGAGCCCCGCATTGGGGCTCTGTCTCATGAGCCGTGAGATCATGAAATGAGCTGAAACTAAGAGTTGGCCACTCAACCAACAGAGCCACCCAGGTGCCCCTACACAGACTTAATACAGCATTTAGTCAGTATTTCTCAGGAGAAACTCTCAGCACTTTGGCCCAATAATTCTATATGTATCATCTATAGAAATACTATAGAAAGAGCTGCATAAATTGCCATTAATAAGATACTAGTTATGTTATAATGCATGATATACCACAGTAGTTTTTAAAATGAGTTGAAATTGCATATGATGAAATTACAACTGTAATACAATTGGGAACCTGAAGTGAGACACTGCTTTAATTTTACTCCTCAGTGTAGACCACATTATCATCATTTCAGGGAAGACCATATGCTTGCTTTTTAAAATTTTCTGCTCTTTTCCCCCAGGTTTGTTGAAGTATGATTAACAAAAACAAATTGTATGTATTTAAGGTATATAACATGTCATTTTGATAAATGTATATATTGTGAACTGATTACCACCATCACACTAATTATCCATCTATTCACACAATTACCCATTTTGTACGTGTGTGAGAGAACACTTGAGATCTACTCACTTAGGAAATTTCAAGTATATAGTGTATTATTATTGTTAGCTGTAGTCATCATGCTGTACATTAGATCTCTAGAACTTATTTATCTAATTACTGAAGAGCATCTCTTTTTTTCCCTCTCCCCCTAGCCCAGGTAACCATCACCTCTCTTTACAATGAATTTGACTTTGTTTTTTAGGTTCTACATATAACTGAGATTATACAATATTTGTCTTTCTGTGTCTGGCTTAGTTGACTTAGCATAATGTTTTCCAGATTCATCCATGTTGTTATAAGTAGCAGGATTTCCTTCTCTTTTATGGCCAAATAACATTTATTTGTGTGTATGTGTTTGTGTGTAAAATCACATATTCTTCTCTACCTGTTGACAGACACTGAGGTTGTTTCCAAATCATGGCTACTGTGAATAATGCATCAGTGAGCATGGGAGTGCAAATATCTTTTTGGGATGATAGTTTTATTTCCTTTTGATATGTACTCTGAAGTAGGATTGCTTATCATATGGTAGTTCTATTTTTAATTTTTTGAGGATTCTCTATGCTCTTTCACATAATGGCGTGTACAGGTTTACGTTGCTACTAACAGTGTACAAGGGATCCCTTTTCTCCACGTCATTGCCCACACTTGTTATCTTTTGACTTTTTGATAATAGCTGTCCTCTCAAAGGTGTTAGGTTGATATCTCATAGTGGTTTTGATTTGCAGTTCCCTGATGGTTAGTGATGTTGAACACCTTTTTATGTTCCTGTTGGCTATTTATATCTCTTCCTTAGAAAATACTCATTCAGGGTTTTTGCCTTTTTTATAATTAGATTATTGTTGGGGGGGGTTGCTACTGAGGATGAGTTCCTTATATTAATCCCTAAGGATGTATGGTTTGCAAATATTTTCTCCGATTCCAGAGGTTGCTTTTTCATTTTGCTGGTAGTTTACTTTGCTGTACAGAACCTTTTGGTTTGTTGTAGTCTCACCTGCTTATTTTTTTTTTTAATATTTTATTTATTCATGAGAGACACAGAGAGGAGAGAGAGAGAGAGAGAGGCAGAGACACAGGCAGAGGGAGAAGCAGGCTCCATGCTGGGAGCCCGACATGGGACTCAATCCCTGGTCTCCAGGATCACACCCTGGGCTGAAGGTGGCGCTAAACCGCTGAGCCACCCGGGCTGCCCCTCACCTGCTTATTTTTGCTTTTGTTATCCCTGCTTTTGGTATCAAATTAAAAAAATCATTGCCAAGTCTGGTTTCAGGGAGTTTTTCTCCTGTGTTTTCATCTAGGAGTTTTATGGTATCAGGTCTTATGTTTTAAGTCTTTAACCCATTTTTCAGTTGATTTTTGTGGATAATGTAAGGTAGAGATCCAATTTCATTCTTTTGCATGTGACTATTCAGTTTTCCTGGCACTATTTATTGAAGAGACTGTCATTTCCCTATTATGTATCCTTGGTGTCCTTGTCAAAGACTAGTTGACTATATATGTGTGGGTTTATTTCTAAGCTTTCTATTCTGTTCTCTTGTTCTGTGTGTCTGTTTTTATGCTACCATCAAACTCTTTTGATTACTATAGCTTTGTAATATACTTTGAAATTAGGAAGTTTGATGCCTTCCTTTTTTTTTTTTTCCTCAGAATTGCTATGGTGTATTAGGGTCTTTTTTTTTGTATTAGGGTCTTTTGTGATTTCATATACATTTTAGAATTGCTTTTTTCTACTTCTATAAAAAATGCTCTTGGAATCTTGATGGGGTTCCATTGAACGTATAGATGACTTTGGGTTGTATGGACATTTTAACAATATTAATTCTTCTAGTCCATGAACTTGAGATATCTTTCCACTTATTCTTCAGTTTCTTTTTCTTAGTTTTCAGTCTTACAGTTTTCACTGTGCCGATCTTTCACGTGCTTGGTTAAATTTATTTCAAATTATTTTAATCTTTCTGATGTTAAGTATACTATTCTAAATTCTATGCCATGAGGCATAGATTGCTCTGTAATCTCTATCCCTTGTGAGACTATTTCTTTTAAGTGGTCTCTCTGATTTACTTTATTCATATCATTTTACCTCTTTGTTTTTGTTAATTAAGGGCTAGATATTGTGTATGAAAAATTGTGAAAGTAATTTGAGACTATGATGATATTGTGTCCCTTTAAGAAGATTTGTGTTAGTTTTTGGCTGGCATTAGCAATCCAGGATTGCCTTAATTTAATTTTGTGGTAGACATTTGGAACTGAGCTTTATTCCTGTAAAAGACCAGACTAGCTTTGGTTCATACTCCTAGAGTATAGCCCTTCGGGCTTCTAAACAAAAGTGTTGGGAGTTTTACCAGCTTCCCTTCTGCATCTTGTTTTTTTCTGCATTTCATTATTTATCCTTGCAGTTCTTTAAAACTGTCAATACCTTCTTAGCCTCTCATGCCACTAAGTAAAAAGTAACCCCAAATGCTAGGCTTCAGCCTTTTCTTTTAACTTTATTTTTTTAATTCTTCTTCTTTTTTTAAGATTTTATGTATTCATGAGAGACAGAGACAGAGAGAGAGAGAGAGAGGCAGAGACACAGGCAGAGGGAGAAGCAGGCTCCATGCAGGGAGCCCAACATGGGTCTCCAGGATCACGTTCTGGGCTGCAGATGGCGCCAAACCGCTGAGCCACCCAGGCTGCCCTTTTTTAACTTTATAATCCTTCATCATGCTATTAACTTTTTAGTGCCTTCAGAAAGATTTTAAAACATATACATTGTTCTAGTTTTTCTTAGGGAAAAGTTGGTTTGAAGTGTGTAACCTGCCATTATTGGAAGTAGAAGTCAGCAGTGTATAAGTAGAAATGAACAGCATATAACTTAATCTTTTTAAGGTCTTAAAGCAGATTTAAAAATCACCATATAATAATGTCAGTGTTACCTACTTGTATTTTCACATACTTTCTTGAGAAGGGGTAAGAAATAGAGTTACATTGATACTACTAGCAATTGCACATATTAGATTATCAAGCAAGTGAATATCTTCTTTCATGTTTCTTATCAAGGAAAAAACTGAAAACCAGTGCTCTAATTGTAACACTTACTGCATTGTACCATAATTTTTTTAAAAATATTTTATTTATTTATTTGACAGAGCCCAGGCGCGCACGTGCACATGAGCGGGGGGAGGGGTAGAGGGAGAAGCAGGCTCCCTGCTGAGCAGGGTGCCTGATGATGTAGGGCTCTATCCCAGGACCCCTGATAACATGAGTCGAGCTGAGGACAGACACTTAACTGAGTGAGCTACCCAGGCACCCCCATAATTTTTTCTTTATTGGACTGTCGTTCATGAGGCAGTCGGCCCCTGACCAGGAAGAACCTTGTTTTACCCAGATTTAATTTCCTAGTGCTAAACCTGGTATTGAGTGTCCAATAAGTACAGAAATGAATGTAGGTGTTGAAAAATACCTTATTTGACTTTTTACAGTGAAATTTAACATGGATATATGCTGTTCTGAACCATGTTAAAAGGTAAATTTTAACAGAGTAGGAAGAATCTTTTCTGACCAGCTTTTTTGTTCTGTCCCTTTCTATTTTAACAGGTGGCATCTCCACAGAAAGCGACTGTGCTTTTGAGCCAGACTACGCCGTTCCACCACTTCCCGTGAGTGAAGGTATGCAGCACATTCGGATTATGGAGGGCATGTCTCGCTCTCTTCCATCCTCCCCCTTACTCACACATCAGTCTATCAGTGTTCGGCTCCAACCTGTGAAGAAGTTAACTGGTAAGGACTTTACCTAAATTTAGTATGTTTAACAGGAAACCTAACATGCCACTTTAGGTCATATCAGATATGTTTATATGCATCTTTAGGTTTTTCTGCTTTGGCCTTCCTAATGTCACAGACTCTTGGAAAGTGGAACTCCTACTGATTTTAATTCAGGGAATTAAAATAGTACTCCGTTTGACAGATTGATGTATTTATTTCCTAAGTGATCCATCTGTTGTGGACATATTTTTCTAGGCTTTCAGGAAACTTCTAGTTTTGCCAGAATACACTGTTGTTCTGATTTCATTTATCAGCTTGTTCATGTCAGATTAACAGATGAAGATATTGTAATTTTAAGGGAATAAGAGCTTCAGAGTTCATCAGTCATGTATTCTTTTTAATCCTAATCTATTTCATATCTATTTCTAAAAGTTGATTTAGATACTTTCCTCTCCCATTGTACATTCCTCCAACTTCTTAGGATACTTAATATAATTCATAAGTTTGTGGATTGCATTGACTTTAGTATGATCTCACGATATATGTTACCCATTCAGATCAAGTGATTAGGTGTGAAACTGTGTCTTAATTATTAAATGAACTTTTGTCCTTTAAAGCTTTTTCAGAGAAGAAATTTTAATGTGTTGAATGATACTTACATGTGAAAATATATAAGCCTGGGTCGCTTTCTTAAGTTTCTTTTAACATTATCAGTATATATCTGGTGTCATTAAGTTGACTGAATATTGGTGGATTATGAGTGATTAGAGGTGAGAAACTAAGTCATTCTCAAAGGATACATTAACTGCTTCCTATATGTCTAGCACTGAGCTGAACAGGGGGGAGGATTGATTATTGTATGACAATTCAAAAGAAAACAGGAGAGAAGGGAAAATGGAATTTTTAGACTTTTGTATCAATTTTGAATGAAAATTTTACAATGTTCATAATTCTCATGAAAATAATAGTATTTCTTTATTCTTTAGTTTTACAAGGCATAAGTCATTCCTCTTATATTTATTGTTTTTAGGCTTCTTCAAATAATGAGTCAAAGTCTACTTTGATTCTTGGGTCATTTGATAAAAATCAGTAAAATAGCCTAGTAACATTTTACTGAAATATTTATTCCCTCTGATATCTAAAAATAGGATAAATTTTATGTGGTTGGACTTTAATAAAATTTCTTTGCATAGAAATATCTCCCTTTTCTTACAGCTTAAGATATTATTGATTAGTGAAAATACAAATAACCAAATATGAGATGGCTATCAAGTGATGTGTTTCATTTAGCACACTTCGGAAGAGGTAGGAAGAAAAATTCAATTTCCTTGCAGAAATAAACTGGATCACCGAAGTTTTGAAGATAACACTTTTTTTATCCCATTGGCCTATCCCAGTTTAAGCTTCAACTTAAATAGGGAACTTTATTAAAAGATAAGTACATTTAATAACAAAGTCAATTACATGCCTGATATCACAGAGGTGAGACAGGGAAGTGGTAGTAAGAGGCATACTTGGTTAATTACATGTGTGAACTATTCAGTTTTAATTTTTTAATATTTGAAGTATTTGCATGCTGTCAAATAGTTTTATTTGTCAAAGGATTGTCAAAGGCCTAAGAATTTGAAGATTGAGGATACACTGTAAAATTTCTGAATGAGAGAAATCTGTCTCCTGAAAAAAGGATGCCATGAACATTTTCCTGTGGGCATTTTTCTGCCGAGTGAAGCAGATGATAGGAATTTTTTGGTTTAACCTAGAATGAAATTACTTTGAAATTTAAATTTAACCTTACTTAGTAGATTTATGAGTTATCTTTCCATTTTCAATTATATTTTGTTATGAACTAAAAAGAAAGTTGAATAGAGAAAGATTTGCTGACCATAAGTAAATGTCCTCCAGAGAATGTTTTTTTAGCAAAATGCATTAATTTAATCCAGCCATTAGTACTGCACTTACTGATTTACCCATTTCCATGCATTTAAACTTCCAGTTACCTTATATACCTTGTATTCATATTACCCACCAAACTGAGTAAATAGGGCCAGATTAGTCATCTTATTCTATTTTATTTCTGACTTTCTAACATTTATACCCTGTCTTTTCTATAGTCAAAGTAGTTATTATTTTTCTGTGCTTTTCACTTAATCGTTCAGCAAATATTTGTTTAGGACCCGTAATATGCCAAACACTGCTCTAGACGTACTTAACAGGGTGTTGAAAAATTTTAGATAGTGACAAGTAATATGAGGGTAATAAAATAGTAAATGGGAAGGAGAGAGAGTGGAGTGGAGGTAGGATTTCTTTTTGTTGAGTCATCAGGGAGAGTAAGAACAGGAGGTATTTGAACAGAGGTGTGAATAACAAAAAGAAGCCAGTCGTGGGAAGATCTGGGATCAGAGCCTTCTGAGCAGAGGGAACAGCCAGAACAAAAGTTCTAAAGCAGAAAGTGGCATTGGCATGTTCAAGGAATGGAAAGAAGGCAGGTTGGTTTCAGCAGAACAAGTCATAGGGAAGAGCAGTAGAAAATAGTTGAGGCAGACAGAAACCAGAATTTTTAGGTCATGGTAATGAACCTAACTCTGTAGGATTTTAAGCAGAGCCGGATTGGGAAGTAATATGATTTGATTTACCTTTTAATTAGATCTTGTTGGCAAACATGTAAAGAATGGCATATGAGGGACTGGAGTATGTTATGTTTGTTGACCTTGTATCTGTGTTCTTCATCTTTAAATCTTTTAAACTTCTAATAAGTTAATAGAGTGGTAAGAAAAAAATCTTTTTTTTTTTTAAATCTTTTCGAGATATAGTGAAGGGATAACTATCTTTTTCCTATCATCATTATAGAACCTTCGTATCCCTAACATACTTTTCCTAGTCCTTCACACAGGTATAGATAATGACTCATTTGGTGTATCAATTAAGACTTTTTTTTTCAATTAAGACTTTTTTATTTCAAGTTACAGAAGATAGATTACAAATGATTTAAGCAATAAAGGGAAACTGGAAAACCTAAGGTTGGGCAAGCCTCATTGTTCTTTGACTTATTTGGATGTTGCTGTGCACTGGGGAGGTGTGGAGGAGAGTACGCAGAGACACTATTGGCTCCTGTTACAGTGGTGATCATATCGCCCCAGTTCTCTAGATTCTTGTTTAGTGCTTTCCAAGATGTTCTTGTTCGTAATATCCTAAAGCCCCTTAAGCATCCTTCTTAAAGTATAGATAATTGAGAGTGCCAATAGTTCATTCAACCTTATTGAGTTTATACTGTTTGCCTATTATATACACTATAAAGTTAGTAAAAGATAGATCATGAGTATTTGCAATTTTGGTAGAGTTATTAAATCATTGCAGCCTTTTTGGAGGGCAGTTTGATAGTATGTATCAAAATTGTAATACACAGGGGTGCGTAGGTGGCTCAGTTGGTTAAGCCTCTCTTAATTTTAGCTCAGGTTGGGTGCACACACACACACTCTCTCTCTCAAATAAAATCTTTTTTAAAAATTGTAGCACACATACTCCTTGACAGAAATTTTATTGCACAGTTTATTTTAAAAATTAATTTGAACAAGTTTGAAACATGTATGTATGTGTATATGTATATATATGTATACTAAAAAACTAAAATCTATCACTAATAGTAATCCATTTGTATGACACACAAACATACACAGATGCATATATATGATGGTGATGTGAAGATAGAATAACTCTAACTCAATAGCTTGGGAGAAGGATGACATAAATTTTGTTGTGTACTTTTTTATGATGTTTATATTTTTTTACCACACATAAAATCTAAAATCTCACGAGGCAGTAGAACAAAATGGGCCTGGACTGCTATTTCTTAACTGTGTAAACTTAGGCAAATTTGTTGGAAGTCTTCTAAAATAAGGTTAATAGGACTATTACAAGCATTGGATGATTGGCACATATAAAGCTCATAAGACAGTGTCTGACAAAGAATAAGTAGTCAATAAATGTTAGCCACATTTATTATAATTCTAAAAGAAATTTGAATGACTTTCTATCAGCTATGTTAAATATGAGTTCTGAGCTTTTGGAAGGTGATCTTCAAGAAATTTGTTTAATTACTGTAGGTAAGCCCTTTTTCTTTTCAGAAGAGTAACCCCCAAGTACTGATATTCAATGGATTATTATCTAGTTTGGGAAATTTTTTTTGACCTGATTTAAAAAGTATTTGCTACATAGATTGGAATGACTATGTGGTAGTACAATTTAGATGGTAAATAAGTCATAATATCTCATCTGATCATACTGCAGCCTAGTTACTTTAAATGCTAACTGTGGCCAAAATATTATTTTCATCATGGATAAAAAGGGAGATTTTCCCTTTCTTCCCTGCTAAAAGGGAATCATTGACTTGTTTATGAGACATACTGGGGAAAAGATTTAAAGCTATTTTGACATTAAAAACAGCCTTATGGGGCAGCCCGGGTGACTCGGCGGTTTGGCGCTGCCTCCGGCCCAGGGCCTGATCCTGGAGACCCGGGATTGAGTCCCGCATCGGGCTCCCTGCATGGAGCCTGCTTCTCCCTCTGCCTGTGTCTCTGCCTCTCTTTCTCTCTGGGTCTCTCATGAATAAATAAAAAAAATCTTAAAAAAAAAACAGCCTTATGTAATATTAGCCTACATATTCTGATATATTTTAGTGTACTTATGATACATTTTTCACATGATAATTTACTTGCAGTTTTTGGAAGCACTCGAATTCAAGATATACTTTAGTGAATTTTATCGTTAGAAAAAAATTCAAGGTTCCTGTGAAGATTGAATAAGATTTCTTAAGCTTACAATATAATACATTGAATAAATGTTACTTTTCTTCTCATTTATTGTCTTGGATTAAATAGAAACACAGTCTTGATAAAATTATTGAAAAGCCAATTTAAAAATATAAGACCACAGAGATTATGTTAGTCTTTGTAGCTAATTTATTGCAGTGTACTCATGATTCTGTAGCATGAGTAAATACTGCAATTTTAGGAAAAATA